AATTGGTTCTACGCTCATGGGGAAGCCTAGACCAGAACAACGGCAAGCTAATTTTCGCCAAAAAATTGAGAGAGAGCAACACGAGACTAGCTCGTGCTAGGGAAGAAGTCGATAGTGGTGTTTTCAAGCCCAACAGAGAAAAGGATGAATTGACATATACCCTAGAGAACCCGAACACGGTGGTGAACAAGAGGCTATGGGGCGGATTACGTGGCTACAAGCATTCCAGTGACATTGGGGATACCTCTGAAGCCGCCAGAGAAAGAAGGATGAGGAGGCAGACCGAATCCGTGTATTGGAGCAATTTGTTAATGAGTCATGACAAGCATTGCTTGAATCACGTGAACGAGAAAAATCTCTTGAGGCAAGAATGCAGGAGGAGATCAAGAGGCAAGTGCAGCTAGCAATGAGTCAAATGCAATCGCAATCAACGTCGAGAGTCACCATTAGCCCGTTGGTCGGATGAAAAGCGGTTGTGCTTCCACGGAGAGCTGCCAGTTATTCAAGGTGATCTTTGGGTTGCGCTTCCTGTTGATGACATTACCGAGCCTCTAACAACATGTGAGCTGCACATTCCGGATGGTAATAATGCATCAATCATGGTGGGTCATGGGGTTGTATCTCCAATAGACCGAACGAAGACACCAAGAATCCATGGGTCAGTTATTCAACCTGGATATGCTAGCGTCTCGGTCGATAGAGTGCTCAAAGGTTACAGCAATATTCCTCTTGACATTGAAGGCGGTGATGGGGAGAAGACACTAGGAGAAGCAGAGAAGACATTTATTCAATGGTGCAAACGCTTCATCATCATTCCTGGGGCGCCACCGCTTCCCCTATCTCACCCTAGGTACGAATGATAGTGAATGAAATATTATTTTTCTATTAATTTTATATTGGCTTCAAAAATAATTGACCCACAACTTGTTTTTGTAGCAGGGTCTCCCCCCAGCCTAGCCTAATCATTCATTCCCCATCTCATCACAGCGTCGCGGGGGGCGAGACGACTTCATCCCCACGGTGATCTCCAACTCCTACACCGGCCCCATCGCCTCCACAACGATCTCCAACTCCTACACCGGCCCCACCGCCTCCACAACGATCTCCAACGCCTCCACGTCGGACTCCAACACCGGCCTCATCGCCTCCACGCCAGTCTCCAACACCGCCCCCACCACCTCCACAGCGACGCACTACAAAGACATCTAAGGTCCCGACGGCAAAGAAGACCCTAAAAAAAGAGTTATTTCTCAAGAAATACTTCCTGAAAAGACTAATGAGCAAATAGCAGCTGAAGAAGGCAAAAAAATGAAAGATTTTTTTATAGATATCCAAAAGCAGAGACAAGCGAAGCTTAAGGAGAAGTCGTATTTTTACATACCACAAGATCAGCTGAGGCAGAAGGTCGAAGCTCACAAGAAAAAGATGCTTGAAGTTCGTAAGCCACCGCCACTATCAGACTATGACCGCTCCCTCGTGAAGTCACATGATGCACATAAGAAAAGGAAAAGAGTATCAGTGAAGGATGTCCCACAGCTCGGACAACAGAAACAACCAATGCAAAATCTTGTTGTTGCTAATCAATATGGTTCCAACATAGAAGTCTATCGACCAGACAACTCTGGAGAAGTGTCGGTTCAAGACCTTAATGATTTTTTTGAACAAACTGGTTTAACCTTGGATCAAGTGACGGGCAAAGCTCCAATCCAGAACCTAGAAGTTGATACCTGGAAGACTTATAAATTTGGCAAAAGTCTGTACAACCCTGCGGCTCTGAATGAATTGGGTACGCAAATGTACTTGCTCAACAAGTGGTACATGCAGGCGTGTGGCAGGGGTGAGCAGTGGATCTTTGTCAGATTTAGAGACCATCATTACTTCCGTGGAGATGACATCTTACATATTAGTTTCGAAGAATTGCATCAACTATTCCACTTGGACGCTCTGGACAAATCAATCATTAGCTCCTTTTGTTTGTAAGTGATTCTTACTTTTATTTAATAAACTCACTTCCATGCGTACGTGTATATAATTATCCTCACATGTAACTTATATTTATATACAGATTCTAGATGTCAGAGCTCCAAAGAATACAAGACACCAGTGTTGGCTTCATTGATCCTTATATCGTATTTAAAACCGATATTATTGTCAAGGACCACTGGGTATCTGAAGCACAGACGAATATCATGAAGTTCTTCGTGAAGCAGCACGACAAGACAACAATACTTTTCCCGTACAACTTTGAGTAAGTGTTAATAATAATGTAGTCTACACATTTTATGTAATACCAATACAACTTATATGCATGTACGTGTGTATAAACCAATGCAGGTTTCACTGTATACTCATTGTCATTGAGTTAAACTCAAGTCAGTTAGTAATCTTGGACTCATTGAGAAAAGAGCGAGCACTATACCAAGATATGATAGACATTATCCAGGGGTAATTTCGATCTCTCGCGCACAACTATTATTGAATAGACTTTGCCATAATTTATTAACGATCGTACATTATTGGTCGCACAGGGTTTGGAAAGAGTTTATTCGGCAACACCGCAAGGATTGCAAGGCACCACTTAATGTAGTTGAAATACCAGTAAGTTGTACTATATATACTTCTCCACGTGTTTAATTACTATATCGTACTTCAATTTACGTGTGAGATGATGAGAATAATCTTCTTCTCGTACAGTGGTGTTTGCGGCAGGAACCAGGTAATAACGTGTGTGGATACTACGTTTGTGAATTTATCACTGCATACATAAGAAGAACTCCTGAAGATGTCCTCAGAGTACGTATATATCAATTTTTTATTTATTTTTAAATGAATATATATATATATATATATATTAATATTTTTCCTTTTATTTCAAATGCAAGACTGAATGGTTGAAACGAAGGGTCATGCAAAAAGACCATCTGAAAGCAGTTCAAGAGTCAATAGCAGGATATCTTCTAGAAAAAATGTTAAATCCCAACGGCGAGTTCTACTTTGATCTAACGTACTAAAGATGTAAATTAAATGTTTATTGATATCGTTATTTTCGAGAACAAGATTATGAAAGTGTTGTATATATACATATATATCTATAATATATATAGTTTCATACTTTATTCGAATATAATAATGTTCGAGATGAGAATTAGATGTAATTATATGCGTGCGTGTATTTATATTAGCAGCGTAGAATACGTACATAAAAACATATTATATATTAAATAAATATGTGTAACTGAACTGAAAACAAATTAAACAAAAAAAAATAAGAAAAAGAAAAGGAACCTTTAGTCCCGGTTGGGGTTACCAACCGGGACTAAAGAGTGCGGCCAGGGTTGCTCGGCTGGAGGGTCTTTAGTCCCGGTTGGTAACACCAACCGGGACTAAAGGTCCCTCTTTAGTCCCGGCTCAATGACCCGGGACTGAAGGTTCCACCTTTAGTCTCGGGATCGTTGTCCCGGCGCGGTAACCGGGACTAAAGGCCGTTACCGTCCGGGACAACAAATCCATTCTGTAGTAGTGTAAGGAAGGACTACCTCTCTTCCTCTTCTATTATGATGATTGCAGATTGTATGGTACGTACGAAGTTGCAGGGAATGGCAAGTTCTGTCCTGAATCAAAGGGCAAAACTAGCTATTTTGCCCAGGTGCAATCCCTGGTGTCTGTGCTTTGAATGTCATTTTGTTTTTCACTCTCAGTAAAATGCCTTCTAGATGGTGTTTTGCGCTAGCAGAGAATCAGTTCAGAGATGCTATTGTAGCCTATTACTACCAGAACATACCGGTGTCCCTGGCCAGAAGCGTATTTTTTTCAAGTTTGAATTGAATCGTGCTCAGATACGTGTTTGATGGATATGTTTACTCCTTCTCCCAACAATTTCTGGATGTCCCCTGCGGGAGGTACCAGCTGACGAGCATGGGAGAGAGTTAGTGCTGTCACCTGGGCACCAGTGTGAAGGGAACAGTAACCTCAAATCAGAAAAGGTTGTGAAGTCATATGCAGACACAGTGAAGAAGAACAAATTCGAGAAAGTTGGGACAAGAGATGTGGATGCAGAACAGCTCAGGTAATGAATCTTCAGGTGGTTTCTATGAACTGGATTGTCAATACACATCACCAGAGAGGGAAGACTATGCAGATAGGAGGGTGGTTCTAGTGCAACGATAACAGTACAGTACCCTGATAAGCAGGGAAAAATGCTGAGCTTTGATCAGGTGGCACTCTAATTTTTATGCCAATGCAACTGAAACCTTTGATCCTGAAGTTGATAAGCTGTTCTTGGGGCATTGTTTGCTGGTGCAGTTATTGGACTCTGAATCATGCACAGAAGCTAAGGTTATAACTTTGAACTCAGCTGATATCTGCATCCCATCTTATCATCCTTGTTTTGTGCTTCAGTTCATTCAGTCTAGCTAACATGCTTAGGCCCTGTTTGGTTGGGCTTTTGGCTTTGGCTTTTGGCCCCAAAAGCCAAAAGCCCAACCAAATGGGCTGCTTTTGGAGGGTGCTTTTTCAGAAGCAGCTGCTTTTCCGTAGTTCATTTTTGAAAGCTGGTTTGACCCTGCTTTTGGCTTTTGGCTTTCTGCTTTTCGAAATTGGTGGAATAAAAAGCTCTTCCATAGTTGTTTCAAGAGAGATAAAGATAAAAGGTATATTTTATACTTGTTTAACCAAACAGCTTTCAGCTTTTCTACAGCTCACAGCCCACAGCAGCTTTTCCACAGCTCACAGCCCACAACAGCTTTTTCCCACAGCCACAGCTCAACCAAACAGGGCCTTAGTCGTTGTCTATCTATTGCAAAATTTTGCCAAATTTTTGTTTGTGCAGCTGATGTAGCCAAAGAGTTATCTGGACGAATAGAGGTGATGAAGAAGGAGCAGGTCTCTTCTTTATGCTCTCTCTCTCGCCTGCTGGTATGTTGGGATCGGTCGTGAACATGCCGCCACCTGGATCAGCAATTCACTGCAACACAAAAGGAACTCAGCTTAGAATTTGAAGATCACTGATCTTTAAACTCTTGGAATTGATACACTGCTAAATAGCAAAGCCCACCTTGGTTGGTGATGTACACTGCAACGTTGAACTGCTTTTGCTGCAATTTAACAGCAGGTACACATAAGCAAGCAGATAAAACATCACCCTTCAACATTTTTACGAGATGCCTACTGCCATCGAAATGAATTGACGAGAATACCTGACGCTCTGCAAGTTCACCCCTGCCACTGAAATCAACACGAAATAGTGCAATCACAGAATCCACAATCTGTTTCCAGGATGATAGAAATACCATATGAGCACGCAACTGACATTATCAAAACTCAATGCACATTACAGTTTCATGCCTAAGAAGCCTGAAAGGTTCTTCAGCCATCTTGGCAGCAAGGCCCAAGAGAAAAAATGTACTGGTGCTCATAGGTGTAAGCACGAGATCTACAAAAAAATGAAACAGCCAATTTGGCCTGTTAATCGTGAAATGGGATAATAGAAATCGGAAATGTTAGATGCATGGAATTCATACATTGTCGAGATGGCATCCATCCCAAATCTCTCAGCAATTGGCACAATGCATTCAGGTTGGCTGAAAACTCATTAAGGAAACAATTTTGAGATGATAGGGATAAATATAAATTCTTGAGAAAAACAGCTTGACAATTACTTATGAAGTTCCAAAGATACAATGTTCCCTCAGTGTCAATGTAGGCAACCTTCCGCCGCCCCGCATGTGGATTGGAAGCTGCATTTTCATCGATCAGAAATAAGAAAGCAATTCTGTGCAACAAGAAGTCAGACAAACAGAATGAACATGCCGCCACCTGGATCAGCAATCACTTGAACACAGAAGGGATACAGCTTAAAATTTGGAATCCACTGATCTGTAAACTCTTGGAATTGATACAGTGCTAAATAACAAAGCCCACCTTGGTTGGTGATGTACACTGCAACATTGAACTCCTCGGCAACCTTGGTAAGGTGGGACAGCATCTGTGCTAGCTTTTGGTGCAATTTCACAGCAGATAAAACAGCACCCTTCAACATCTTGTCATCTTTACGAGGTGACTACTGCCATTGAAATGACGAGAATACCTGGCGCTCTGCAAGTTCACCCCTGCCACTGAAATCAACACAGAATCCACAATCTGTTTCCAGGACGACAGACATACCACACGAGCAGTTGAGCAGAACTCAGATTATCAAAAATCAATGCACTGTACAGTTTCATGCATACCAGAAGCCTGAAAGGTCCCTCAGCCATCTTGGCAGCAAGGCCTAGGAGCAAGTTGTACTGGTGCTCATAGGTGTATGCAGGAGGATATATGAGCTAACCAGAAACAGACATTAAACAATCAATTTGGTCTATTAGACATGAAATGGGCTAGTAGAAACCGGAAATGTTAAGTGCATGGAATTCATACATTGTCGAGAACAACACTAGCATCCATACCAAATCTCTCAGCAATATATGTGTTCAGGTCGGCTGAAAACTTCATGACGGAAACAATTTGGAGATGACAGGGATAAATATAAACTCTTAAGAGAATCAGTTTGACAAATTACTCATGAAATTCCAAAGATACAAGTATCAATGCAGGCAACCTTCCCATTCCCCTCATGCATGTGGATTGGAAGCTGCATTTTCATCAATCAAAATAAGAAAGTAGTTCTGTTGCTTCTATATTTGCATGGTCTACGCGCTATTTAAAAAATTTGATACCAGGGATGAACCTGAGTGCCAACACATAGGGTATGAGCCAACTGGATCTTTCCTGACCTGCAGGACAACCAGATGACATAGATTTCAAACTAAAAAGCCAGAACTGAACTCAGAAATATAGTTATAAAAGCACATCATAAGTCAACATTCACTGTGACTGTTCTCAGTAAATACATAAGATGTTTCTTTCCTTTGCATGTAAGAGGTATGTGCACGATTGTGTTATATACAATGGCAAATTGCTCCCAATATCGGCAATAGTATACACCAAGTAATTGTTTCATATACTGTTCGCTTTACAGAAAACAGAGATCCCACCTTAATTTCATAGTCATTAAAGAATCAATTTGCATAAAAAACAATGGTGCGAAATTGCATTCATGTGGTTAAGCTAGCAAAGCAAAAGCATGATTAGAAGCAATAAGATGCACGGCAAGGCGAGCATGCATGCATGTGCCACAAACAAGATACCAATATAATCACTGCGCAACAAGAATTCAGACAAGCAGAACAAAGATGTGGGAATTGGAATCCATAGTTCAGAAACTTCTTAATATGCATCATTAAGCCATTGCAAGTGTAAATCTCTGCATCCTGCAGAAGGGGCACAAAACCCCCACTATGTACAAAACCCAGCAATAACCAAACAAAATGGCTGAGACAAATCTCAAATCACACCAACTTCACTCTGAAACAGCAGCAACACAGTTGGCTCCAGGTCCTGGTCAAATCACAGAACAAATGCGATCTAGGGTTCCTAACAACTTCCACATCCCCGATTTATTGTTTGGAGGGGGAGACCTCGAACTCGAAGCTCTCAATCAGATTGGGGTGTGATTTTGGAATGACCCGCTAGGCGAATGACACTGGGTAGTCATGGCAGAGGGCGAAGACCCTAGCGAGGATCCTGCCCCAGCGCTCCTCCACCCACGCCCTGCGGTCGGATCCACCTCGCTGGAGGGCCTTGTTGACGACGTTCTGGATGTAGTTCCCCAGCGTGACGGGGGGCTGCCCCATCAGCCCGGGAATCTCCTTGCCGATGCGGCGGACGTCCCTTGCGAGGAGGCGGAGCTCTCGGAGCGTCGCGGCGTCCGTCAGGTCCTTGAGAAGGCGAGGGAGCGTGTCCGCGGCCATCTCGTCCAGCACCCGCCCGAGATCGGAAGCGCGGAGGAGGCGGTCCAGGTGGTCGATGGCCCACCCCTCTGCGACGACGTCGTCGCCCCCGTGGTCCGCTCCCGCGCCGTCGAACCCCACGTAGAAGGCGTCGTCGTCGGAGACGAGGAGGCCGTCGAAGCCCTCGCCCGCGCTGGCGCTGCCCTCGGCGTCGGAGTCGCCGAAGCCCCCGGCGTGATGGTCCCCCAGCAAACCCTTGGCGCGGAGGGCCGACAGCATCGCAAGCGCGTGCTCGAGGGACACCGCCTCCAGAATGATGATCCGGCGGGGCCCTCCATCGGTGGCGAGCGCCTCCACCTCGTCGATGGAGGACACCTCCACGATGGGGAGGGGGAGGGGGAGGGGGAGGGGGTGCGCCATGGAGGGCAGGCTAGCGGGTGGGTGCTCCTGCTACGGGCGGAGGCGAGGAGGCGAGGAGGGAGCAGCGAGAGAGAGAGCGGGAGGAGGCGAGAAATGGCGGTGGGTTTGGTAACCGCTCCGCCGCCCGTACCGCTCCTGTTTTATAGGCAGCGCCGGCGGGGAGGGGAGCGGCCGTCCCACGGCCGCCACGATTTGGATTTCGGATTTGGGGGAACGCTTTCGAATTTCGGGCCGCAACCGCCTTTCCCCCTCTCTACCTCTCTCTCTGTTTTTTTATTTCTTTAATAACTGAATACTACTCGTTGTTTTTTTTAAAAAAGCATATAATTACTTGTTACTACTAACTCCGTTCCAAATTGTATGGCGTTTGTCTTGCTCGTTTTATTCAAAAAATTATGCAAAATATCATATATTTGTTATGTCTTGCTTTATTAATAAAAGTTCTTCAAAAATAACTTAAATTTCACTGTATTCGCACAAATTTATAAAAACATAGTCAAATTTAAGTCATTCTTGAATAACTTTTATTAATATAAACGAAGCCACGACAAAAGAAGTGATATTTTACAAAAATTTTGAATAAGACGAGGGTCAAAACTTGGTGTCAAAAAAGTCAAATGTCTTGTAATTGGGGATGGAGGATAATAAGAATCCTTTTTAATCACATGTCATGTCATGTTGCTTCTCATAATGCTTCTTAGGGGGCATCCATCCCGCGTCGGACGCGGCTAGCCAGGCCAAGCCACCAGCCCACATACATAGTTCCTCATCAACAAATAAAATAGCGACCAACGTCGTTCCTAGTTCGCTTCGCTGCTACGAGCTCCTCCACCGCACACCACTTCTTCTCAAACCATGGTGGCTGCGACCCTCTCTCTCCCACACCATGGCAACCACTCACCTCCTTCCATGGTGCCTCAAGCAAGTCTCCTCCCTTTTCCCTCCATGGATCTAACCACCCCCTCGCACGTGCATCTTCCTTAAGTTCGGCGACCTCCATGGCGCCCCTCCCATCACTCCATGGCGATGGCGGCTCCACTTGAGGTAGGTCGTTCCTCCACTCGATCCGACTCCACCTCCTCATTCTTCGGATCCAGCCCTCCTCCTCCTCTTTCTCTGGATTTGAGGAACGCGGTGATGGCTAGGGTCCAAGCAAGCTTCGGATCCTTCCGTCCCTCCCGGTGAGCTCTCGGAGGTGATGGGCCAGGGCTAGAAGAGTTGTTTTTCTCAGGTTGCAATGGTTTTTTATGTTGCAACAGATGATTATTGAATGTTGTAATGTGATTTTTGAGTTGTTGCAACAAATGTTTTTTTTCTATGGTCCAATTTTCCATGTTTCATGGTGATTTTGCTATGTTGCAAAGACATAACTTTCAATGTTGCAAACACATAACTTTCGGTATTGTAGTAGATAATTTTCACTTTTGCAAAGACATAATTTTTTGATGTTGCAACAAATATCTTTTGATGTTGTAATATATTTTCTCGATGCTGCATTACTTGTTTCTTTCGATTTTGCGGTACATGTTTTTTTTTTCATATAAAGACATGACTTTCGATGTTATAGTACATATTCTTGCGATGTTGCGATATTCATATTCGATGTTGCACTACATAGTTTTTCCATATGTTTGCGATGTTGCACTTTAAGTGTTTTCGTGGTCTTGGGGACAGGGGGCATGATGGGGGAACGAGGTGATGCAGGGGGCGAGCGGGTTCCGTTCATTTCCTTAGAAGGAAGGGCGGCGTTGAGAAGGGAGCGGTGTTTCCATTCGCATCCTATTCCCGTGGGGGGGGTTGGGAGTGCGCAATGGGAAGGGCCCGGCCTTCCGTCGCCTTCTATTCCCCGCAGGAGGGGGCGAGTCTGGGAGAGTGCGGTGGGAAGGGCTCGGCGCCCGAACACATCTTGCGTACCGCTCCTGTTTTATAGGCAGCGCCGGCGGGGAGGGAGCGGCCGCCGCCACGATTTGGATTTGGATTTGGGGAACGCTTTCGAATTTCGGGTCGCAACCGCCTTTCCCCCCTCTCTATCTCTCTTTGTTTATTTATTTATTTAATAACTGAATATTTCTTGTTGTTTATTAGAAAAAACACATAATTCTTTAAAAATGACTTAAATTTCACTGTGCTTGCACAGATTTTTTAAATAAATCGAGTGGTTTATTTAAGGTCACAAAAAGTCAAACGTCTTATAATTTGGAACGGAGCGAGTACTTATTTGCAGTAATAAGTTCTATTTGTTGCTCAAAAAAATTGATGTAATAAGAATCCTTTTTTCTACCACTTGTCATAACGTGTGCTTCTGTTGGAGTATAATAAACCACCATGTAGTTGATGCCAATGCCATGTGCTGCCTGATGAGCTTGTATAATTTACTCTATTATGAAAGTATATATTCAACCACTACTATAAAAGTGATTTTAGGAGACACTACCCAAATATTAACTGAGGTGGTCACAAAATCCAAGAGCTCCAGTTAATGCTTGGTGATTAAAGGGAGGCGGACAACCTCAAAAATGGTATATTTTCGGAGGTAGACATCTTAAGGAGCCAGCCTTCTCGTAAATCAATTTTCGTAGGCGAGCACGCTATAAGGCCGGCCCCAAAAAATACTGGCCTAGCTCCCGGCCCAAAAAAACACTCTGCCTTTGGACCGGGCTCATATATAAGCAGCACTCGTTAAACCTAGCCACTCCACTCCTAGCGCCCCACCTCCCCTCCCGACCCATCAAGTGCCCCACATCACGGTGGCCCTCCTCCCTCCCCTCCACGACCCGAGCACGCCCCCCCCTCTCACATAGATCTGCGGCTCCCTCTCCTCTCCCTCACACCGTAGCCGCCACTCCGGCGATGCCCTCGCACGGCCAGAGCTCCCTCCCAGTGAGCGGAGGCGGTCACATCCAACAGGCTCGGTTAATTCTTGCTGATTAAAGGAGGCGGTTGCTTTTCTTTACGGAGGCGGGTTTTGTTAGGAAAACAACCTAAAAATGGTATATTTTCAGAGGCAAACATCTTAAGGAGCCCACCTTTGTAAATTGATTTTTATAGGCGAGCACGCTATAAGGTCCGCCCCAAAAAATAGTGACGGGGTCCTCCATTGGTAGCCAACTCCTCCACCTCGTCGAGGGAGGAAACCTCGACGACGGGGAGAGGGAGGGGGAGGGGGAGGCGGTGGGGGTGCGCCATGCCTGGCTAGTAGGTGCTCGTGTTGTACGGGGAGGAGGCAAATAGGGAGGAGGGAGCAGCGAGAGAGAGGGAGGAGGCGAGAAATGGCGGTGGATTTGGTAACTGCTCCGCCATCAGACGCCCAAGATTTAATAGCCGGCCATGACGGGGAGGAAAGAGCGTCCTCCGCAGTGGGGAACGCTTTCGAATTTCAACGGACCGCAACCGCCTTCTCTTTTTTTATTTATTTAACGCACTATTGCTACCTATCAGTACTACTCCCTCCGTTCCAAATTATAGATTATTCTAATAATCTTAAAGAGTCAAAGCATCTCAAGTTTGACTAATGATGTTATTTCATCTAAGATTTACGGCCCTCCTAGGAACCAAACAATCAAATTAAATAAACGTCTCATAGTTATTTGGTGTACCATAGCAAAGCCCCGGAGATGAATGACAAACGTTTGTGACTAAGTTGTGCTTTAGTCATAAACAACCGTCGCTATGAGCACTTCCCAATCTTTATGACAATAGCTCATGACGAAAGTGGTTTAATGAAATAGTCATTAATTAAAAACATATTTTTGTAAAAAAGAATCCACACTGGCATGGCCATGCCCTAGACGGACTAGTGGGACCCGCGTGTTGATTAAATATTAATCGTAAAACATAGAAGAAATATGCCTTCACTAAAGGAGGAGTGTCACGCCTCAAAATTTATATTTATATTTTGTGTTGTGAATAGTTTACAATAAATAAAGTTATGATTTATAATTTTTTCTAAAATTTTCAAGATTTAAATAGGCTTTTATCAAATCAAATTAGCAAAATGTGAATTTCAAATAATGTTTGCAATTTAATTTGAGAGGGGGCTGCCGAAGGGTCAAGGAAACGTTGCAACCGCCAAGGAAAGAAGCTTTCTTGAGGGTCAACAGCCGTCAAGTAAACTAATTTTCTTGAGGGTCAACAGCCGCCAAGGAAATACCGCCAAGGTAATTGTTGTTTCCTTGGCTGCTCTTCACCGCCCAGGAAACTATAGTTTTCCTTGACTGTCATCAACCGCCAAGTTAATACTAATTTCCTTGACTGCCAGCCCCAAGGAAATCTATATTGGCAATAAAAAAATAATTGCAGTAATCATTGCATTCTAATATTCTATTCATTGTATTCAATTCAGAAATGATGACATGCATATAGACATTTTATTCGGCCTGTTCGCTGGTTGGTTTCTGGACTGGTTTGGGCTGGCTGGTGCTGGTTTGTTGTGAGAGTAAAACACTGTTGGTTGGCTGGTTGAAACCAACAAGCGAACATGGTGATTATATGGTTCCCAACCATTACATATTGACACAAAATATCAATACGAATATTACAAGTGCATTTATTATTCATCCTTACATGAAGTTCATACATCATAACACACAAGTCACTAATAGTTTCCAAAGCGATAGGGTATTGCTATAATTCCTCTGTCAAGTCCTCCCAGCACACTATCTTTTGGCCTAAGTCAGTACATTTGATGGTTGCATACCTACAAGAGAAAATAGAACAACGAATCGATTACTAAGCATGTATGAAATCAGCATTGCTCATGTATATATAGTGTGGTGGAAGCACAGCCACAAGGTAGAACTCACTTGCAGAGATCAATTGCGACTTTGATGTTGATCTGCAGCATGAGGAACTTGCTGCTAAACACTGGCTCCCTCTGCAGGTAACCCACCATTAGTGCCTCGTTATCCCCCATCAGCTGCACCACACAGCTGCTTTGCATAGCATCACAGGTAACAATATACCACAATGAGAGAAGGGTAAAGGCACGATGAACTTCAAGAACAACTGACGGACATTGGAGAATATTGTTTCTATGCTATATCAAATAAACAAAATTACTGGCTCATGAACTCACACGTAACCTGAGTTAGCAGTAACAACTAAATGTGTCTGCAGCAACACTAAATTTGAGAACAGTTCGCAGTGATACTGACCTCGCTCATTTGCTCTCTTTCATGGAATTCCACACTCGCGCTTTGGACATTGCTTAGACCAACTGTGACCTGCACCAAAACCAATATACAAAAGCAGAAGTGATTCAGAATCGTTAATGTGCTAACAGGCAGCACAAGTTAAAAGTGCTAACTCCTAACAGGCACTTTTGATGGCATATGTACCTCCCAACAGAACTACAGGTAGCTAGCTTCTATTTGACTACCAGAAAATCAACAAGCCCTGATCGTAGAGTAGGTAGTTTGCAAGTACCAGCTAGTTGCTATTTGATGGTTGTATGCAGCCACATCAGCAAAAGCACGCATGTTGTATGGAGCCACCTACACAAGCACGCATGCAGTGAACAAAAATATGCAGCTGCTACTCCACAACTAGCACGCATGATTTGAAGCACAATGGAATCTGCTAAATGTGTTGTCTACCAAAAGCATTCAACAATTAGAAATAACAGATCTCAATAAAACAATAGTTAAATCAATAAGAGGATGTTAGCTAAATGTGTTGTCTACCAAAAGCATTCAGCAAAAGCACAATGGAAGCACAATGCAGCCACCTGCACATAGTTTGTTTTAATTTACACAAGCTAAATCCATGCACTATGAAAATCTCAATAAAACAATAGAAAAATACAAAAATAGGGTAGTCTACGCACAAAAACATAAGTTTCCCAAACAGCAAGAACTAGTATTCATCTCAATAAGATAGCGAGTAGTAACAAGCAATCAATGAGATAGCTTGCTAAACAGTTAGCTCAACAATTCAGTTGCTAAAAACAGTTAGCTCAACAATTCAGTTGCTAAAAACAGTTAGCTCAACAATTCAGTGCTTCGTCTTACCTTTTATCAGATCAGCAAATGAGCGAGGACAAATAGGCTGCACACCTCAAGTGCTGCAACTATGCCATGGCCCTGAGTGGCATAGTTGTATAAGTAACAGAGAAAAGTCTGCTATTATTTTGATAGATCAAGCAAAGATATCTAATCACGAATGAACCATGGGGTTGCGTCATCATCTAAATATATGTAAGCATTCAGTTGCATGTTCCAGAATGCACTGCTAGATATATGGTTCTATTTAGTCTGCACGTCATTCTTAGTTCTATTTAGCTCCAAATTGGTATCTGCTAGAATGCAGGTTATAGCTCCAATTGGCTATCTATGAGACCTCAAGAGGAAAGAAAGAATTCTATATGTGTAAGTCATCTCATCAACTCAGCAATTAAGATATTGCTATTAATAGCTGAAAAAGGAAAAGGCAACAAATTTGGCCCTATATTTTGTGTCCAGAAATTCCTTGTACCTTGATCCCCATTATTCTTGGTATTGGTAGTGAGAGCAAGAGCAAAGTCATCACCTCGCAGATATGTTTAGAGAAACCTGAACAATAAAACACAACAAAGAGATTCAGTCTGTGACAGCACAGGTTCAAAGTCCTATTTCACCTGCACCTGCGACATGGTACTACTTTGTAGTACAAGCATTTAGGCAAATTATGGAATCAATTAGGATGACATCTGGTCATGATTAGCCGATTAGGCAAGCTAACAAGCTAACACATCCAGTACTTGTAAATTCAACCTGTAGGTCAACAAATTTGATTTGAACAGCAATGGATCAAGAAAAAAATATTGTTACTACTCTTGAACATATATCTCAAGCTCATATCTGAACATTCAGAAATGTAACTTTAAGTAGTAAATTGAGGTGATAATCTATATGACGACAAGAGTGGCTGGTATATACAAGGTGATATCTAAAATCGTATCAATCCAAACACAAACTCAAAGGCTGGTATACAAGTGGAACAATCTTAAAAACAATCACTGGTTAGAACGGTTGTGCTGCAGGAAATCTACATCAGCACTTTAAGATTTTGGGGCATTATTATAACAGTTGGAAGCCTTTTCCCCCATTCAGTCAATACAACAAACAGGCAGCAAGCACACGTGGGCATCACACATTCACACGAGATAAGCACAGGAGCAATCGAGACTCACCGGAAAGGACACCCCACAGCGGCGTCGCTGGCCAGAGATCCTGTGGCCTCGCCGTACCTGCGCAGCAAGATGTGGCACACGGCTAAACAAGCAGGATGGAAACGAGGGCAATAGCTGGGGCGAAAGAGACGGAGGGATGAGGAGACGGTGCCGCCGCCGCGCTCCACCGCACGCTGCTGTCGCCGCCGCACCTCCACCGTGCGCCGCTGCCACCCCTCCTCCACACGACTGTGCGCCGCCACCGCGCCCTCCACCACTGTACGCCGCCGCCGCCGCCGCCGCCGCCACTCACCCTACTGGCCCTCCTCACATATCCAGCAGAGAGAGAGTTGGGAACAGGAAGGGAGAGATCGAGAGCTAGGAGAGAGTGGGACGGCCGCACTGATACAGATTGGCACTTGGAGTGCGGCGGGAGCAGCTAGGGTTTTACCTGGTGTTTCATAACTTAGTCGTCCAAGGTCGATCCAACGGTATAGAGCGAGACATGCTCGGACTAGGGTGGAGATGGGCCGACTGCGTGATGGGCTGAATCCAGAATTGGTTCATCCATTTACTGCTTATTAATAATATTTATCTTTTTAAATTTTAGATGCATACTTATAAAACTAATTCCAAATTAAAATGTATGTACATCCAATAAGATTAAAAAGATCTTAAAAATATATTTTTTCTATTAAATTTCAATCTAGCCAATACCTTAGAGTTAGAGCAAAAAAATCATTTGTCTACTAGGAATAATTCATGGTTATATCTCCAAATTACTAGTAAATAATTGTAAGAATATTTAGACTTTCTTAGAAAAATATACAAACTTACATTACAACATAATTTTGCCATATAACCTTTGCATAAAAGTCTAATAATTTTAAAGAAAGTGATACTATACATTGTTCACAAATGGATCTCTCTCTCACATAGTTATGTAACTATGTAGAGATATATCACTATGTGAGAGATATATCCATTTGTGAAGAATGTATAGTCCAACTGTGTTAATATAATTTGAAAATTTTATGGCAAGGTCATACAACCATGTTATAACCTTATGCCAAATTTTAGGATTTTCAAACATCTTTAAGATATTATTGTTTTTTTCGGTCTGAGTTACCAAAATACCTATAAGTATTTCCTTGGGTGCCTACCTTCAAGAAAATTCAATAACCGCCAAGGAAATGACAATTTACTTGGCGGTTTTGAATAACAGCCAAGAAAATGGATATTTTCCTTGGCGGTTAAAAACAACACTCAAGGAAATAGTAGTTTCCTTGACAGTTTAAGTAAACAGCCAAGGGATATATATTTTCTTGAGTGTGGAGTAGCACCGCCAAGGAAACTACCCTTTCCTTGGCGGTTTGATTTTGGCACTCAAGGACATTTTAGGCCGCCAAGGCAATTCCAGTTTCCTGTAGTGAGTGTAGCGTTTAAACGGTGTGTGTACACGGGCTAATGGACCGTTTAGGAGAACAGTGGCTATGATATATTTATATCTAAATAATTATGTACTTTGCAATGGAAGAAAAATATACCAATGTGTATTTTAATTCAATACAGGTCTATTAGGACATTGTTATTTATTGTCAATATTAACTTATGTTATAGATGTCATCACGGTCATCACAAAATAAATTATAATAGCTTAAAACATAAGTAGATATGTAACATTCACATTATCATTTTGCATAAATGTTTTATAGTTTTTCTTCTCCTGTTGCAACACACGAGCATATTAATTTGCTACTATATATATGTCATAAAAATAACAAATCATATGCATGTGTAGCTAGGCTGAGGATAAGGAAAGGAAAACCAAAGATGAAAAGTTCCAACACAAAAGCCTTCTGGCTTAATAATACATTTGTAAAATCGATAAAAAAAAGAAAGAAAACAACATAAACCCCTCTTACACGTAAGGTTCCTTCCCCTACATATCTGCATGTGTATCCTTCCCCTACATGTATGCATGTGTATCTAGTGGTGTTCGCTATACTGGCCTTTTTGGATCTAGATCTAACTTCAGGAGAGATGCTGAGCCTTCATTGAATACATAGTTGCATTGGCTAATTCGAAACCATTCTTGGCCAAGTCTTAGTCTACTTGTAACTAACTATTGGTCATAAGGTTGAATAATCCAACATGTGGTTGCTGCGCAGTTGTGTCATGTTATATTTCTATTATTAGTGCTTGCACTCTCTATTTATACATGAAATGTACAGACGCAAATCACATCATAGGATCCTCACTTGCAACAACTATACCCTAGACATTTCAAGTTCAATTATGGATGCAAGACATGTTGCTTTGTGCTTGTTCCTAATAATTGGATTAAATGGAAAACCAACTTCAGCAGGTTTCTGTTCATATCTCTATGTTTTTCACAACTATCATGTATATTTTTTGATATATTTGATGCATCATAGATTTATATAAATTCATTTCATTCACCTAGTTGATATTCATTTATTTAATTCTTTTGAGATGAACATCTATTTAGTTCTATGGCCAGTTTATTGTGATCAAAACAAAAAAAATATTATAAGTTTCTGATGTGTTGTTACTTTTTGCAGACAATTGCTGGCAATTTGTTAAAGTGCATCCATTTTGCTTTAAGGCTATGTGCAACACTAATTGTCATTTGGAGGCCAAATTCGAAGGTGTCTCTTTGGGGGGATACCATTTGTGATGGACATGGAATTTATGGCTTGTGCATTTGTCAATTGTGTAAACATTAGTTCTCTCGAAACAGAAAAGACGGCAGCCTCTTATGTTTATGTCGTTCATATCCATTATTAAGAAGTGTTTGTCAAAATAAGTATAGGGTCACATAGTTAACTAGTTTGATCTTTTGCCATAGATAGTACTAGTTAACTAGTTATCATTTTTCCCTAAATTTCTCATGTTTTTTTGCTTTGATGGTTCTATGTTCAGAAATAGCATGTGCTTTCTGTGGCTAGACTATTTAATAGAACATTGTAATATTCACTCGCCTTTTTTCGGGATTCTCGTTGTTTGTTTCACCTCCCATGTGATGAGCTCGCATCGACCTTAATTTAATTGAAATTAATGTGTGTGATTCCCATGTTAACACCCCCCAATTTGCTCTAGAGGTACATGTATCTTTTGATATATATGTTCATCTATATTCCCGTGTTCTGATGACCACATAATAAGTCTGCAATATGATCCTGCACAAGAAATGGCGCAAAAAAAAATGATGATCAATGCAGTAGCAATATGATGCTGCACAAAAAATGACTATATAATAAGTCTACAATATGATGATGCAGTAGTCAATATGATGCTTGCACGGGCATTGTTATCACAATTTTAGAGGCACAAAAAAATATATTAGTAGGGTACATGTATTGACTATTGCACGACATAAACTGTTGAAACGAACAATGATAGGATATCACTGCTGATTTGTAAACAAAAATCTTAGCACTGCTGAATTTTAAAACCAACTGGTAGTGAATGAATTAATCCAGATTGATACAACCATTTATAACAACCACCATATCCCACATCTGTCCGCCGTCCCTGAATCATCCTTTCCCATGTCAGTGTCATTATAGTGGCATTGAACACTCTATTATACTAGAAGGATATTTCCATTCTTTTTAAAATTGGAGAAGGCAATAAAAGAACCCAATAGAAAAAAAACTAACAGAATTAGATTGAAATAGCAAAATTTGGATGCCTTCTATATTTCCCATATATTGAAAGTAGTAATTGCTCTTTGTGGCGTCTACCTGAATAACTTGCATTAAAAAGATTGGAAGATAGTGGGATGGCATGGCTATTAGTGGGAAGCTGATGTGGATATTAGTGAGAGATTATGTCAATAGCTTGCATGTTGAGATAAAACTTGTAGTTTGGAGTAGTTTGATGAGATGTAGTCTAGATTAATACAACATTATAAAAAGGAGCTCCTACGTTTATTGAGGAATAAAAAAGAAAAAGAATATGCATTGTTGGATTCTATGATATCTAACGGCTTAGGTTTAAACAAAGAGTCTATACCCAAAACTAGCATATATATTCATAATTTAAACTAAAAAATATTAAGTTGAGTTGTACATGAATTAAGAAATAAAATAACTAAATAACAAGTTAATGTTTGCTACAATTAATACGTACTCAAATTTTAAACAAACTAGGTGAGTTCCCCGCGCGTTGCTGCGGGAATGTAAAAGTAATTTAAATTGAGTTAAGAGAAATAGGATGTAAGGAATTGCTATGGTGTATAGATTATCACCTCAATTTACTACTTAAAGTTACATTTCTGAATGTTCAGATATGAGCTTGAGAATATGTTCAAGAGTCGTAACAATATTTTTTTCTTGATCCATTGCTGTTCAAATCAAATTTGTTGACCTACAGGTTGAATTTATTACAAGTACTGGATGTGTTAGCTTGTTAGCTTGCCTAATCGGCTAATCATGACCAGATGTCATCCTAATTGATTCCATAATTTGCCTAAATGCTTGTACTACAAAGTAGTACCATGTCGCAGGTGCAGGTGAAATAGGACTTTGAACCTGTGCTGTCACAGACTGAATCTCTTTGTTGTGTTTTATTGTTCAGGTTTCTCTAAACATATCAGCGAGGTGATGACTTTGCTCTTGCTCTCACTACCAATACCAAGAATAATGGGGATCAAGGTACAAGGAATTTCTGGACACAAAATATAGGGCCAAATTTGTTGCCTTTTCCTTTTTCAGCTATTAATAGCAATATCTTAATTTCTGAGTTGATGAGATGACTTACACATATAGAATTCTTTCTTTCCTCTTGAGGTCTCATAGATAGCCAATTGGAGCTATAACCTGCATTCTAGCAGATACCAATTTGGAGCTAAATAGAACTAAGAATGACGTGCAGACTAAATAGAACCATATATCTAGCAGTGCATTCTGGAACATGCAACTGAATGCTTACATATATTTAGATGATGACGCAACCCCATGGTTCATTCGTGATTAGATATCTTTGCTTGATCTATCAAAATAATAGCAGACTTTTCTCTGTTACTTATACAACTATGCCACTCAGGGCCATGGCATAGTTGCAGCACTTGAGGTGTGCAGCCTATTTGTCCTCGCTCATTTGCTGATCTGATAAAAGGTAAGACGAAGCACTGAATTGTTGAGCTAACTGTTTTTAGCAACTGAATTGTTGAGCTAACTGTTTTTAGCAACTGAATTGTTGAGCTAACTGTTTAGCAAGCTATCTTATTGATTGCTTGTTACTACTCACTGTCTTATTGAGATGAATACTAGTTCTTGCTGTTTGGGAAACTTATGTTTTTGTGCGTAGACTACCCTATTTTTGTATTTTTCTATTGTTTTATTGAGATTTTCATAGTGCATGGATTTAGCTTGTGTAAATTAAAACAAACTATGTGCAGGTGGCTGCATTGTGCTTCCATTGTGCTTTTGCTGAATGCTTTTGGTAGACAACACATTTAGCTAACATCCTCTTATTGATTTAACTATTGTTTTATTGAGATCTGTTATTTCTAATTGTTGAATGCTTTTGGTAGACAACACATTTAGCAGATTCCATTGTGCTTCAAATCATGCGTGCTAGTTGTGGAGTAGCAGCTGCATATTTTTGTTCACTGCATGCGTGCTTGTGTAGGTGGCTCCATATATACAACATGCGTGCTTTTGCTGATGTGGCTGCATACAACCATCAAATAGCAACTAGCTGGTACTTGCAAACTACCTACTCTACGATCAGGGCTTGTTGATTTTCTGGTAGTCAAATAGAAGCTAGCTACCTGTAGTTCTGTTGGGAGGTACATATGCCATCAAAAGTGCCTGTTAGGAGTTAGCACTTTTAACTTGTGCTGCCTGTTAGCACATTAACGATTCTGAATCACTTCTGCTTTTGTATATTGGTTTTGGTGCAGGTCACAGTTGGTCTAAGCAATGTCCAAAGCGCGAGTGTGGAATTCCATGAAAGAGAGCAAATGAGCGAGGTCAGTATCACTGCGAACTGTTCTCAAATTTAGTGTTGCTGCAGACACATTTAGTTGTTACTGCTAACTCAGGTTACGTGTGAGTTCATGGGCCAGTAATTTTGTTTATTTGATATAGCATAGAAACAATATTCTCCAATGTCCGTCAGTTGTTCTTGAAGTCCATCGTGCCTTTACCCTTCTCTCATTGTGGTATATTGTTACCTGTGATGCTATGCAAAGCAGCTGTGTGGTGCAGCTGATGGGGGATAACGAGGCACTAATGGTGGGTTACCTGCAGAGGGAGCCAGTGTTTAGCAGCAAGTTCCTCATGCTGCAGATCAACATCAAAGTCGCAATTGATCTCTGCAAGTGAGTTCTACCTTGTGGCTGTGCTTCCACCACACTATATATACATGAGCAATGCTGATTTCATACATGCTTAGTAATCGATTCGTTGTTCTATTTTCTCTTGTAGGTATGCAACCATCAAATGTACTGACTTAGGCCAAAAGATAGTGTGCTGGGAGGACTTGACAGAGGAATTATAGCAATACCCTATCGCTTTGGAAACTATTAGTGACTTGTGTGTTATGATGTATGAACTTCATGTAAGGATGAATAATAAATGCACTTGTAATATTCGTATTGATATTTTGTGTCAATATGTAATGGTTGGGAACCATATAATAAAATGTCTATATGCATGTCATCATTTCTGAATTGAATACAATGAATAGAATATTAGAATGCAATGATTACTGCAATTATTTTTTTATTGCCAATATAGATTTCCTTGGGGCTGGCAGTCAAGGAAATTAGTATTAACTTGGCGGTTGATGACAGTCAAGACAGTCAAGGAAAACTATAGTTTCCTGGGCGGTGAAGAGCAGCCAAGGAAACAACAATTACCTTGGCGGTCTAGAGTATTTCCTTGGTGGCTGTTGACCCTCAAGAAAATTAGTTTACTTGACGGCTGTTGACCCTCAAGAAAGCTTCTTTCCTTGGCGGTTGCAACGTTTCCTTGACCCTTCGGCAGATTAATTCAAGTCGTATTTTTCTTGGCGGTTAGCCTTCAAAGAAATCATCCTTGAGTGCCAAAACCGCCAAGGAAATTAATTTCCCTTAGCTTCTATCCTTGAGTGTGTTTGCTTGGCAGTTTGCGGTCAAGGATCATTTCCTTGGTGGTTTTACCTCTTTCCTTGGCGGTTTTTGGCACTCAAGGCAATTCGGGATTCTGGTAGTGACTGTGGCACAAGGTTTTCATTTAATTGGTTTTTTTAACCGTTTGAGTGTTTAGGATAACACTAATCATAAATTTTCCATACTACCATTGTGTTTCTGTGACTCAATATTAACCTTTGTAGATTTTTGACGCATCATATCAACCGCCTCCTTAATTTGTTTGTCGATATGTAAAGCATTGGTCTGTCCGTTATGATGAGAGATTGATTTTTGAATGCACGTGGCCCTTATCAGGAATTACATAAATATATTTGTTTGCATTTCATTAGACAATAACATGTCCTAGATTTTGGTTCATGAAATAATTAGTTTTACCACTAACTAATCCATATTTTAATAAAAATAAGTTTTGTTTATTATCAAAACTACATCAGATGGCCTAAATCTTTCTCCTCAAAACTTAATGCGCAAACAAAAATAACAATTACTAAAAAAGTAGGGGTTATGTATCGGGGCTTGGCTTATGTAGGAACCGGACATCGAAAAGTTAGTGAAGGCTTCGGGAACACCGAAGACGAGGACATCCACCTCGTACTCCTAGACCACCTCCGCATATTCCAGGGCTGTCTCTGGCACGTGCAACATATGCAATATTGATTTAACACACCTATAGGCAAAGCACAACCTAACAAGATTATAATATCTATATCACATTTTTATGAAGCTAACTAAACTGGTTTGGGATTTTTCTATGATTTTTGGCGAATTTTGCAAGTTCTTTGTTTTATAGAAAATAGAAAAACAAAGAAATGAGAAAAGGCTTGTATGGGCTTTGTCCAACCCACAATGAAGCTGGCCCAATGCCAAGATTCAGACCAGGTTGAAGAAGAAGCCCACCAGGGGAGGTCTACTCGGATCTACATATTTTGCATGAGGAACCCGATCTATTTCAAAAACTATTAAAACCCTTTCACCTTTTCTTTTTTATCTCTACCATCTTTACATCTAGAACTCCCTTATTTCTTTTCTATCTCTTCTCTACTCCTAATCTTCTTGTAACTGTGAAGGCACACGGTGGTGAGACCGAGCCGGTGTTGGGTATGGCGGAAGAAAGGCAGAAGAAAAAAAGGCAGAAATTTTGCTTTTTTAGTGTTAGGTATAGATATAGATATGGATAAAAGAACTAACCTTTAATTGATGGTTGCATTACTTTGTTCATTCAAGGTGTTTCACTATTGTAGTGTATTCATAATAAAAAAAGGAATATAAAAATTTAAATAAATATGTACTATACAAGAACTAGTATCTAACAATTGAAATATCTCAGACCAGGCGTATCTTGCCAAAACTAACATTATTTCATTATCTGCACTTTTGGTTTGATAGATGTTGAGTGTATGGTTAATAATATGATTTATACTCCTCTTCTACATTTGGTTTCATGCAGAGGGATGTTGCTTTGTGTGCAATCCTAGCTTAGGTTATCTAGCCATTGGGGTGCACATTCACAGAGCTGGTTTTCATGCTTTCCTTACTTTGAACTTAGGTACCAACAGTGTGTCATTATCTCTGGAGAGGCATTGGATTTCCCTTAACCAGTCTCGAGATTGTGTGTAGTCAGATATGAACTAGATTATGTGGACAGAAGGTTTGGAATTGACATTATAGATATAAATCGTACACCTATGTCCTACAACGAGTAGGTATATATTAGTAACTGAATACTTTCATGTGTACGGTTTGTGAACTTGTGGCGGCTTGAAGTGACACAAGTAATTAATTAAACATTATTGGGTCTCCAGCTCCTCCCATTTGTAATACACACACACTCATCACCTCTGGCTGCGACTACCGCTTCTCGTAGCTCATTATTACACATTATCTATCATCTCATGGTCTAATGTCAAAGTAACATACCCCCTCCACTCAAAAATGATAATCGTATTAGATCAGAGGAATTGAATAGTCAAACTTTATAAAGTTTGACCAACAATTTTTTGAAAGTGGGTGCGGTGTCTTCTGCTAGTAAACAACGATTTCATGATGGTACCTAGCAAATATTGGAGTTGGCGGTGTGATTTGTCAGGTGGCTCCAAGCTATCTAAAAGAAAGGCTATGGTTGGGTGACTACGGGTTCCAAGTCAGTTGGGAGGAGATACAACTGCTTCTGCAATTTTTCTCTGACTATAATTTCTGACATAAGCCTACAACAATGGCGAAATCCAAACCGACAGGCTCCACAACAGTGCAATGCAAGCTCCCAGCAGCTCGCGCAGCACAACGATCATATCAGATGGAGTTAACACTACTGGATTAAGGCGCTTTGCCGGGTGCCGAATGCACCCGGCAAAGCCTACTTTGCACTCGGCAAAGCCTTTGTCCGGTGCAGCACTCGGCAAAGAGCCTCCGGCAAAAAATTAGTCGGCAAAGATTTCTTTGCCGGGTGCTTTTTATCGGGCACTCGGCAAAGACTTTGCCGAGTGCAAACCCGGCACCCGGCAAAGAAAAGTGGTCGTTACGGCGCCGGCTCCGTCATCCCTTGCTTTGCCGGGTGCCATGTCAGAGGCACCCGGCAAAGATTTTTTTAATTTTTTTTTCAAATTTTCTTTGCCGGGTGCCGTGCCGGGAGGCACCCGGCAAACAATTTTTTTTTTTTAATAATTTCTTTGCCGGGTGTCGCATCGCGGGGGCACCCGGCAAAGAGTTTTTTATTTTTTTCATAATTTCTTTGCCGGGTGCCAGATCATAGGGCACCCGGCAAAGAATTTTTTTTTTTTTGAAAAAACTTTGCCGGGTGCCCTGGCCCTGGCACTCGGCAAAGCTGGGAATTCCTTTCAGAGAATTCCCGGCTTTGCCGAAAGTGCTGAGGTGAACACCCGCAAAGCCTCAAAAATTAATTTTTTTTATTTTGTTTTTTGATTCTATAATCACAAACACAGCATATAAAAGATATATATCACATCTGAAGCATCACAAAGACAATATAGCATATATATATCACATCCATCTCATCACAAACTCAATACCACACATATATATCACATCGCGAATACAATACCTCACATACACGACATCACAAACATAATAGGTCCAATTACCATCGAAACAAGTCGATAGTGGATCACAGTGCATCACATGTCCATCAAGCGGTGAAAAAGAGATACAAACTAAAGGTGGGAGGAAGGCGGAGTGCTGGTGAAGGAAACTCGGCACCGCTTGCTTATTTGAGATGGGTCATTCGAACCCGCCGACGGAGGCTGCATAAAGGACAAGATATTCAGCGGTTAGAGTGGGTCATCTAATGAAAGCACTAGTCGAAGCAATATGGATTCATACTCTTTGGACTAGCTACTCTGGCGGCGGTATTTGGAGCGAACATCGGCACAGTACACCGTTCACTTGCCCAAAGTTCTGCGCAGAACATCGTAATCTCCGCCATTTGCTTGCTTTGTCTCTCCCCTTTCGCCCGCTTCGGCTTGTCTTTCCTTTCGGCCACCTCGGTCCTCGCCGCCCAGTCCCGCAGCTCTCTGAGCCATCCTTTCGTTATCGGCCCGCAACATTTCAATCGAATGTTTTAGTAATGTAAAGGTAACTAAGTTATGTAAAGATCAATGTACGAAGAGTTAAACTGGACTAAACTGGAGCGTCGACCCATTCTTTGTGAAGGGGACGGCCGTTGGCGTATGGCGGGCCTCCGCTCGGGTACTTGCTTTCGGATCACGGGAGAGGGAGGAACAGAGCCGGACTCGAGGTGCCATCGCCAAGCCAAGCACCGCCCATGCTTCTTGCCCCGTCCGATCCTCATGACGATCGTGCCATCAATGTCGTCGGTGCTCGGATCCCGGCCCCCCTGGACCGACCTTGCGTCCGGACGCGTAGGAGCTGATCTTGGTGTGGGCGCTCGGGTTCTTTGACGACTCGGGTGGGTCATCGGGCTGAAGGTGACAATGAAGTCGCCTTTCCCTTGCGGGCGATCCATACGCCATGAACGTGGACAAAGGGTGGCCACCATGCGACGCCGATTGCGAGAAAGACAACAAGATGATTAGAAGTAACATGCGAGAATGGGCGTCGAATACTAAAATGAATTCACGTACCCAAGCTTGCTTGTACGCCGCCGAGGTCTGGTACGCCTTGGTGGTGTGTGGGGCTGTCGCTGCAAAGCCCGCTCCCGGTGGGCTTCGTGTTCTGGATATAACCCTCTCGTGAACCACCTATCCCACGATCATCTCCGGCAAAGATCGGCAAAGGACTCGCACCACCATGGAATCATCTACATGTCATAAAGATTTTGAGATGTAAGACGACCAAATGAAAGCTACTTAATCTCAAAACGAATTAGTATTATTCTTCTTCATTTACCTCA